ATATATTATATATTATATATTATATATTATATATTATATATTATATATTATATATTATATATTATATATTATATATTATATATTTTAATTTATAAAATTTATTGATAACTTTTGATACACTAGTCCTTTATGGATGCTTCAATCATCAAAATGTTCATATTGATGAGAAGATTCTGACAAAGTCAAAAATCACTAAAATACAATCGCAGAATCTCAAGATTTTCAAATTTAATATAATTTTTAATAAGAGTTTTTAACTTTTATTAAATTTACACAAAATTTAAGTAATCTTGAGATCCTGTAATTGTATTTTAGTGATTTTAACTTTGTCAGAATCCTCTCATCAAGATGAACATTTTGATAATTAAAACATCCAAAATGGATCATTGAATCAAAAGTATTAGTAATTATATAAATTAGAATATATATTAATGATATAAATATGATTGGTTGGTTCAATGGAGCCAATGGATACTATTCCATTCACTCCATTGGCTTCATTGATTTTCTCAATGGACCTTATCCATTGCCAACCCGTACCCTAACTTGAAATAAATAAAAAAATTAATTAATTCGGTGATGATCACCTGCGCTGACAATTAGCAAAATTCAAATATGAATATCTAATTGAAATTGATGTTTTAAATTTGTAAAATCGTTTAAAAGATATTTTCTGTAATATTAAAACAAGCTAAGTCAATAACTTAGTAGAACCGGTTGTAAATTAAAATCAAAAAGACTTTTTATTCTTTAGCAAATTTATCACGATTATCGAATGGTTAGATTATATGTAGTAACCAAAAAGATCAACTTTGGCTCCAAATAATGAGAACCAGAAGAATGGAGAAAAAACAATCAAACCAAAACTAACCGAAATGATATTTGACATAAACACAATCACTTTAAAAAATATTTTTTGATTAAAGATCATTATATATGTTAACCGAAAAATAAATAAACATATTTACAAGTTACAGCAGAGCTGACACATATGCCTACGCAGTAAGCTAAGAAAATGAATAAAGGAACAGCAAAGAGAAAAATAAAAACTTTTAGGAAACATCTCGTACAACATCGCATCGCTTTTTTGCACCATAAGGTTGGAACCCTTGTGTCGTACAATCAAACAACATTTTAAAAATAAAAATTTCTTTAATGTGAGAGATGGAATAAAGAACATTCCTTCAGTTTTGTCGACAATCCCATTGGTTCCTTCATGTCTTTACTAATAGCGATAGGTTCAATTCTATTAACATGAGGATGATAAAATTCAACTTAGAAAATTAAAAATTGAGACAGTATTTTAAACGCGCAAAGAAGGTTTGAGGTTAATTATTGAAATTTATAAGTACAACTGTTAGTTTATATCATTAAGAGAAAAATTTCGAAGAGTATGCATGTTTTGCATTTGCACTTATAGTAAGTTATAATAGGTTATAACAGGCAGTCTAGATATTTGAAAAAGCAAGGGTTCGCACCCAGGCATGCTACACAGTGGGTCTGCTGTCATACGGTGATTGTGGTAATATATTTTAGCGTTAGAAACTGTTACGTGAAAACCCATAAGATGTTAAGTGATAAAACTATATATAATTACGTAAATGATTATATCAGCAAATAATTACAAGGAAATTCCCCGATAGAAAGAAAGAACAAATAAAAAATAAAATTTTAGATTTTAATGCCACTGGCAGGTTCAAAGTACATAATGTACGAATAATATTCGAATAATATATAGTTATTGGATGAGAAGCAGCCAATAACGAAAATTATTTATAAAATAATTTATTATCCGGCTGTTAGGTTTAATATGTCAGCTTCTGGGCCCCGAAGGGCCCAGAAATGACATTAAATTCATAGCCAGATAAACGAGAGTAGCATTCAATAACGGTATTATCCGGTATCTTACTATGATCGTACCAACCGAATGACTCGTCATCATCAAATAACGGAGTTAATCATAGTAAGGTGCCGAGAATGACTAATATTCTTCGAATGACTAATATTATTTGAATAAGTACTAATAATATATAGCTATTCGCATTATTCGTTAGAACGAATACGAATATAGAATACGAAATTCTAGCCATTTCAGTGAGTGTTAGATTCTGCTTTTCTGCAATTCTATCGTTTGAATTCGATCATAGAATTGATAGTTACTAAAATTTATAAATCAAACTCTATTATGGTATGTTTTAGAAATAACTTGCTAGTCATGTTACTTTTTTTTTTTTTATTTCTTTGGCGATTAGTCAATTTCAACATATAATTTCTTTTTTTAAAAAAAATAAAGTTAATACGATTCTAGTTCTATCCGTTTGTGTTACTTTGAGTGTCCGATGTAGCGTTTTTTACATTACCGATCATTTCTTATTTTTTATACAAAGAGAATGTCCGAGAAATTCAAATCCCATAATAACGAATCAAATAAACTTTGAATAATCTATGGCGTTCAAAATAAACTCCTAAACCTTAGTCGATTTGAAAATATATTTTGAAAATATATTCGACATGTAAATTTTTTTTTTCTTATTTTTCCAAACATTACAGTATTATAGTGCAGTGTTAGGAAATTTTGTTTATTCTATTCTATTGGTCTATCGTTTTATTGCTCTATAAGTTTTATAAGTGCAGGCTCCATGTAAATTCTCTAAATGCACGGCATTGCTTGGCCCAGCTCATAAGAGCATTATATATTTTACTCTCTATAAATGCACACTCTCTTTAAGTGCATGTTTTGCTTTTTTATGATTCCAAGAGGGGTGGAGTGCACTTAGAAAGGTTTTACTGTATGTTAAATTATCAAATTCCATCGCTGCGGATGACGTTTCATAATTAGAGTACGAGTTAAGTTTAGGCTGGAACAATTTACGTAATTTTACGTAAAGTATGTGTAAGTTTCTGAAATTGTAATTTTTATCGTTATCATGTGAATAATTTTTGTAATGTCGGTAAAATTATCACGTGACGGTCAGTGATGTAATTGGATCGGCGCAGCGTACATAGATTTAAATTTGTGCTCATTTCAGTGTTCTCCGTATATATAAAGCGCGTGTAAAAAAAAATTTTTTTATGCACATTTTTGGTTGTTCCAATAAAAATTATTTGAATTTATAACACTCTGGTGACAATGCACTATTTAATGTAAAGTTACATTACAATTTCATAAGTTACAATGTAATTTACATGAAACGCAACAAAAGTAATTTATGTAATACATCCCTAGTTAGGTTAGATTTAGGATATAGCCTATACGTACCGAGGAATTTTTTTTATTAAGTTGTTTTATAAGCGAATTATTGAGCTACCGATTTTTTTTTTTCCAAATCGGCTAATCACACTGTCGAGAATTATTGTACACAGAAATATTATTTAATATAAATATATAATATATATTAAATAATTTATTATTTAAATTAAATTTGTTAGTCAGTATATGACGAAATGCAATCATAAATATATTTGACACGATAGGTATTTTATAACACGAAAACGGTGAAAAATGATAAATGAGTTTCTTCAAAAGAATCTGATATTTTGAACAAAGAAAGTCGCAATTTCTTATAAATTTATGGATGTTTTAAATTCATGTCATTGGTTAGCTATATCAGAAAATAGTTTGTCTATCAAAAAAATTCAATGTAGGAGTTGATCTTGATGTCATGATAAGTTACGATAAGATCTTGAGTATGAAGTGATACAGGATTTTGAAAATGGGATGAACTTGTTGAGAATGGTAAGGAAGATTAATCAAACTTTACTCAAAATTAATCAATGTCTGTGCTTTTTTTTTTTTTTTTTATTGTGCGCGCATATTTTTATTTTATAATAAGTAAAAATAATTGTGATACATGATCCCAGGGCAATGCTTACAAATCTGCTTTAATCAATAAAGGCAAGTGATAAGTGCATAAGATGCTACAAAGAGTTCATTTTCTTTCCGTGTATGTACATATGCGCATAAACTATGGGAATATTTTATTCCGCATATTCGCAAAATTTTTTGACAATTATCTACTACAAAATGCAAGATTGTTTATATTTTTAAAGGGTGTGTTCAGATAATGACCAAATTAAATCGACTTTCCGCTTTATTGGGTAAATAAAATCAAACTTTGATCTAAAATGATTATGAGCGGTACAGAATTTCTTCTATAATACAATGAATCCAGTTACTCCTGGATCACCAGTAAGACTAAAAAGTGTAATTGCATCATAACTTAGTATTTAAATAATTAAATGTTAAGTTTTATATAATTTAGTACTTTCTCCTTCTATCTACAAGTCGTTTTTTTGAGCAAAAGAAAAAAAAATATCGCACGTAACTGGCAAGTATGGATAATCAAGAGGACAATCAGACAACCGAATATGAAGAGTATGAAAATCGCATCATTGGAGAGAAAATTCACTGTGACAAAAATACCGTTCATTATTTTCCAATTAATGAGGATACAATAGATCGACTACAAAGAATCCATTATCTATGTGGATTATTATGGTATATTTCTTAAGATATCCGCTTTCTTTAACCTTTTTGTCTTATTATTAACTTTTTTAGTTTAGGCAAACCAATTTTTCGACGCCTATTCATGAAAAGTTATTAGAAGGTGCAAAAGTTTTGGACATAGGGTGAGACAAGGACAATTTCCTTATTGTCTTTTTGTTTTTTTTTGTGAAATTTTAACTATTTTAACTATAGATGCGGACCAGGTATCTGGATTCGGGACATGTGCACATCATATCCTTTATCAACATTTTATGGTATTGATATGAATTCGCAACTGTTTCCAAGTCATGGGCACATTCCCAAGAACTCCGAATTTATCAAATACAATATTTTAAACGGATTGCCTTTTCCATCTGAATCGTTTGATTTTATTAATGTAAGTGAAATCTTTTTTCTATTGAACCCAATACCTTTATTAAAATGCTAAACTTTCTTACCAAAGGTACGATTTGCTATTCCTTCATTTACTCAAGAACAATGGATAAAAATAATCATCCCAGGTAACATTTTTCATCATCTGTTGAGATGTTACAGTTCATGATCAAGGTTGGTGCAGAAAGTAGTTTCGTATATTATACTTGATCCTGCATCCTGATTGGTCAGTCTTAAATGTGTACAAGACTAAATTCTTAAAATTTGTTAAGGGTCAAAGTTAGGATCTAGAGGAGGATAGTCTATATAGTAAAATTGTTCAACGAAAACTTTTTGTTAGAACACAAAAGGTGGTTTCTTATGCTGATTATTGAGCTATGAGCAGAACGAAAGTATCTTCCTGATCGTGTTACGTTACACCTAATCTTGAAATATGACTCGTAGTTCAGAGATCTGCGCCACCAACTTTAGTTATCCAATCACATGATACCCACGTGCATATATTCAATAACGGTATTATTTATTGATAACTATCGCTATCATATTCGTAATTACGTTATCAAATTAAACTACGCAAGTATATACATTATATTTTTTCACGTAGATTATGATAAAAACAATGATAACGTAAACAATACAAATATGAGAATTTTTAGTATAGTCATCAATAACATGGCTATACGATAAAATTATGTATCGCATTAACAACAAATTATACTCCTATATTATATTTATGGACCAAAAACTACTTGAGCCAGTCAAAAGACCAGTCCTTTTCGGGACTGTAACATCTCCAATCACCCGTATCATATTCTATTTCTTTATCTAACTTTTTTCATCTTTAGAGATAACTAGAGTATGCAAGGAAAATGGCTGGGTAGAACATATGGAATGGGATGCGAAACTCATTAATGAAAGCCCAAATTTGAAAAAATTGACAAATGCAATAGTAGAATTCACGGCTTCTAAAAATATTGACGCTATGTTTGCGGATAAACTTGAACAGTGCTTGATAAATACTAATATGTTTCACAAAGTTCATCATGAGTTGAAGTATTGTCCAGTCGGTAAGTTTTGGACATGTCTTTTCGCATCAAAATATAGTTTATTATTTATTTCGATTTCGATAAATTCTATTCTGATAATAGGCAATTGGTTCGGCAATTGTGGGTCATTGGTAAGTATTAATAAAGTTGAATTATTATTTCTTTATCTTTTGGTTTTGCTTTTTTAAAAATAAGATTATCTAGGCTGCCAAAGTAGTACTGGAATCGGTACTATCTGTCAAAGATCATTTGAGTAAATTTATGAATATTACGACTGAAGGTACGTACAACAATAAATATTCACAAACGCATAATGCATGTGATGATTTCATGATTAATGGTATCTATTTTATATATTAGAATTTAATGATCTTATTAATGGTCTGATTAAAGAATTTGGAAATACGCCGCAAACTTATCCGTATACTAAAATGCACAGAGTATACGCACAAAAAAAAAAAGGTATAAACATAAAAAGATAATTTCAAATATATAGAACAGATTATAATCTAAGTTTTAAATCTAAATAAAAGGAAATCCTATGTACTACTAAACATTAGCTTGCATAGATACATAATAATACTACTTTTTAAGTAAGAATACTAATAAAAAAAAAAATACAAGTTTTTTGGTTCATTAAAGGAACCTGAACCCCATATATGTAAATAATCAAATGTATTTATAACTTAGCCTAATAAAAGTACGCCAATTCGCGTTAAAAAAAAAAAAAAAACAAGTATAAGTTTTGATAATCTTTCACATAATATAAAAACGTTGTAGAGGCCTGCGGGCCTAACATTGTTAAAAGAGTATTGCTAAATTTAGCAGATATGCTATATCTTAAAAACGTACATCTCAGGGTACTAAGTAAAAATGTTCAGAAGCCCAAAAAAACCTTATGTTAACTAAAATTGGGACCTAATATCTAACCTTAAGCTTGTTCTAGGCCTTGTCTAAAATTACCAAATCTTTAATAATAATTAATAGGTGTGATTTTCTCACCTTGTTAAATGTAGTAATTTTCTTGTTAAAAGCATAATAAATTTTATTTTGCGGGACAGCGAAAGTCATATTTTTTAGGTCCATGCAGGCCCCTAACCAGGTGCATCGAATAATTGATTGTGGAGTAAATTTAATTACATACAATTATTTTGCAATATAAAATTAATTGAGTTTGCAAAACGGGATTACTTGATAAAATATGTAATAATAGACAAGCATATTTGCCAATTGGACTATATAAATTTGATATCATGACTGAAGAAAATAAAAACGGCAAAAAAAATATTAAGACTATAAAACCTGGTATTAAGGTAAAGAATTTTACTAATTATAACCAGTGGTGATCATCACCGGGCTGCAATATCTCAAAAACGGGACTAAAAACAAGGGTCAGATATATTAAGTAAAAATGTTCAGAACCCCCAAAAACCTACTTATACTAAAATTTAAACCTTTATATCTGACCTCTGTCTTACCCTAAACCTGCACCCCAACCCTAAAAATAGAGGCGGTAATGATCACTACCGGTTATTTGTAAGGTAAATAAGATATAGATACTACATACTAAATTTTGTAAGGAAACTTTTTTTATTAAAAACACTAAGGGTGGTTTCATAAGTAAAATTACAGGTTACCGATCGCTTTTATGTTACACCAGATCTTGTACATAATTTAATTTAATTGGGAAGGTATACAAGTATTTTATGCGATTTAAAATGATCTGTAATATACCGATACTAAGAGATTATTCTAAAACCGATTTCTATTTAAAAAAAGAAGCATTTTTTTATCTAAAAATAACAATCAGCACGAATATGTAGTCTAGGAATCCGTAGGGTTGTGTACCAAATAACAACGCAGCCAATTATTGGCGCAAATTTCGTACCATAGAAACATAGGCAGAAGTTTGTTTGATTGGTTGGTTAATTTTTTATAGATCTATCCGTGATTTCCCGTGATTATTAACCAATCAAATTGCATAATTTGTAAAAATTTTATCGTTTAATAAAAAAATGCAAATTTATAAATTAATATATACACACAAAAGAATTTATAACATGTTTAGAGAATAGATAGATACGCGTAGAGCGAGATAAATATTATATTTATTACTAGTAAACCTAAAAATCATTGAAGAATCTACAATATATAATATAATCCAAAAATTTTTACAATTAATAATCCCAAACATACTAAAGGGGCGAACCAAACTTAAACATTAAACCCGAGTCTTCTTACCATTAAAGAACTTGGACCTATTCAAATAAACAAAATTTATTTAATATAACATAATAAAGTTCTTAAACAAAAATATTTCTAGTTACCTTCTTGCAAGATCTAATAGACGAATATGTTTTGCTTCTAAGCAAAGTTCGTCAGCAGTGAGATCTTTCTGCATAGCGAATATTGACAGTGCTTTAAAACTATAAATAGATCTTGGAATCATTTTTATTAGTGCTGTAGTAAGACGTTCTGTTTTGAAAAAGTACTTTAAAACTACCTTCAAGCTTTTTTCTTTATTTTTAAAAAAAGTCGTTACTAAGCTAACACCTCTTGAATTTTAGATTATAAAAGATTATTTTAAAGGTGGTTTTCTAGCACTTAAAAACGAAGCGATACATGCAAAAAAAATTCTTTTTTATCAGTGAAACGTTACGTTCTCAAAAAGTACTTTAAAGTGTATAAATAAGTTACCCGGACAATTATTTACATCAGCCAATCAAACAAACTTCTGCCTATGTACCATAGAATTAAAAAAGAATTTTCCAATTGGAGATCTTTCACCAAAAAAGTTTGCAGTTAGTGTTAGTGGGTTATATAGAATATCAATAGTGTGTAGATCATATATTGAATTAACTCCGCTTTAGCCGACCCCAAAAAAGAAATGATTGCGTAACATGAATTTGAAAAATCCATTGACTGTAATAAAATAAGTAAATAAAATACTTATTTGTTTTACTCTTATGTATTATATTTTACGTATCTTTACGTATCAATACGTAATTATTATCTGTTATTGCTTATTACGACTGATTATTACTTATTACGATTCACAAATACAATCTAAATGATAACTTTGCCCCAATATTTTTTTATACTTATTATTACCATCACGTAAAAAAATTTGATGGTAATATTTCTTAATGATAATTAATAAATGTATTGACACTCGTCATCTCTACTTACTTGGTTGCATAATCTGTTTTATCTAACATTTTTCATACATCCAATTAGAAGTGATGGGGAAATTAGGGCTCTCAAACCTTATCATTACCAGAAGTAAAGTCAATAGTGTCACTGTAACTTTTATTATTGCAAAATCTCACTGGAAGCCAAAATTGACAACACTGTTATCGTTATATGCAATTTGAAATTAATTGCAGTTGTTTCGTCTCAATTATTTTTATAATAGTGTTAATAATAAAATTTAAGATCTCAAAACTAGCATACTTAGAAATGATGTTTCATATAGATCGGTCAGACAGATGTTTTTAAACTCTGAACCTGATCAACAAAGGAGCCATCCCAAACAGAAACACGAAATTTTTCAAAAAAGATAAATCACAAGTTTTTTTATTTATGTTTATATATATACGACAAATCTAATTAGTTGGCTATTTTAGTTAACCAAATGTATTGCTTATTTGATTGTATAACTTTATGTGAAAGAAACATCTATTATAGTGTCTAGCATCTAAAAATTCAATAAGATTTGTTCTATTTTAATTCGATAATAAAATAAAATAAGAAAAAAATTATCGAATCTTAATTTGGCTGTTTTTTGCGATATCGCTAGTGCTATTTTAGATGCTAGAAATAGCTGGACACTCTGATCTATTAAGATAGCAATAGGGCGGAGACACCGAAAAATCCTTAAAAAATCCTTTTTATAGCGGTATAAAATTTTACTTATTTTATCTATACACCTAATTCTCCGCAAGTGCGTCTTTTTTCCTTCATAAGTGCCATTTGATTAGAATTTAATTTCGCAATAATAATATATTACATTTAGAGTATTATTATCATGCACTGTAGTTAGATTTTTCCTTAAGTGCACATTTTCAAAAATATTCTTGTAACTTATAAAGGGTTCCCTTTTTATAACTTTACAACCTCCCAATTAATTTGCTCATATTTCATGTTTCTTGACATCTTTTGAAATTTTCAGACGTTTCTAATTATATTACCTGACTAAACTTCACTTCAACATATACTACACTTAATTTTGCCCAAAAGTTCACTATTGTTAAAAATTCCATTTTATATCCTTTTGTACTAAAAATTCCGATTTATTTATATATATATATATATTAGTGTTGAGTTGACCAGACCAATTCGGCCATTTGACCAGACCAGTTTGATCAATGATCAGTTCAGTCAAGCATTCTTGATATTGGTCAAGTTGGTCAAGTGGTCTAGTTATAAGAACAAATTGACAATTAGATCAATTTAACTATAATCAAATTTGCTTAATTGGTCTAATTTGTTAATTTGGTTCATATTGCTAAACTATTTGCCAATTTGATCAGACCGAGTTTGACTAGAAACCTTTTGACCAATGATCAGCAAATTTATAGTTGTTTTTTTTTTTTTAATATTAACGGTGAGGCCATAATTTATAGTTGATCACTAATTTGATTAACACTAATATATATATATATATAATTTTTTATATTTTGCAATAAGGTTTTATATAAGTTAAAATGGGTTTAATTAGATATTTAAAAGTTTAAGTCTAACCATATTTGATTAAATAAATCCAAGCAAAGTTTATAACTAGAAACTGAAAATCAGTAAAAGTCTAAAACCTAAAAATTTTTTTTTTTTATCTTTTTTCATTATCCTGAAGGTTCTTAAACACCTTTAGGACCTGTTACATTTTTTAAAGATCAAAGTTATTATTCTGCAAAGATCATTAAACAGTGTGTAGTCTTTGCATATTACTGAACTCATGAAATAATTCATGTTTCATCAAGTCTGCTATATGATAGTTTGGGTTTCTAACCTTGTACTGTAAAATCTATTATTTTTTTTAGTCTGCAGTTTCTTAACTTTATATAACCTACTAGTCAGATTATTTATATATTTCAAAGTCTTTAATTTTACTATTATATATTATTAAATTAGGTTTTCTTAATTTAATGTTATTTGTTAACAGATTTCATCTTATCTAATTATTTCTAACTTTGTAATTATATTAGTGATTGCATTTTTTTTGTATAAATCTTGTTCTTGTTTTTAAATAAAAGTTTTTTGCAAATTTTTTTTTCAATTATGGCCTTGGCAAAGTTGTTATTATTCTTTAAACTCAAACTTACAATTTTGTAATTAAGACCTAAGAGTATTAATCATTATATTATTAATCTATAAGTTAAACATAAAATTTTATATAACTTAGCTTTTAAAAAATTTAATTTAATAAGGTCACACAAATTTAATATATTGATTTTCATAACAAAACTTTTAAACAAACCCAATTGGCCAATTTTTTTTTAAATTTCATATATAAAACTTTTATATAATTTTTATAAATGTTTTTTTAAAAACTTACCTAGTT